GCGCGCCTCGTCTTTTTGTGTCCCTTGATGGTGAGCAGGCTTCATGCTTCTTTCTGCTTGTCAGTCATACTCCCCTCGTATCCTCCCAATGCCAAACCTTCCGTCTAACCGTTACGATCAGTCTAGGAACCACTCCCAACGACCGAGGCAATTCGCCGACGACCTTGTCCGCTCGATCCTCGATGACCGCCCGGTTTGACGCGATGGCAGCCCTAGCCAGCGATCCCTTCGATGACGCGCCTCCCGAAGTTAAGGAATACATTTCCAACGGACCCGATGAGTTCCAGCGATGGGTTCGAAGCAAACTGGGAAGCCGCCCCCGCGCCCGCGACCGCGACACAAAGATCCGGGAACTGGAGGAAGAAAACACAAGGCTTAAAGAGCAGGCTAAGGAGAAGGCCCAGCAGCAGGCTGAGAAGCAGGCTGAGGAGATCAGACGGCAGGCCGAGGAGAACCAAAACTTGCGGGCCGAGCTTGAAAAACTGCGCCAAAGCAAGCAGAAAAGTACAGCCGGGACCAGTGAGCAGGCTGAGCAGCGTGCCGAGAACATCGAGAGACAGCTGGCCGAACAGCACGCCAAAGAGATCGAGAATCTCCGGGCCGAGCTAGCCAAAAAGATAAAGGAACTAGAGGCCGAAAAGGAGCGGCTCAAACAGGAGGCTGAAAAGGCCAAGAGACAGGCCGAACTTGAGCTTCGTCAACAGAATACGGCCGGGACTGGTGAGCAGCACATTAGGCAGGCAACCTCCGAACAAAAGCTAACTATCGACTTAGATGCAGTCTCTGAGGTACCTGCATCGGGCCCTTTGTCATCCTCGGCTGCGTCATCGACGGCGAGCAGCGAGCAAGAGAGTAGCGCCGGCTCCACCGATTCCGCAAGCACTTCCAGCACTTCCAGCAGCACCCCCCGCGAAAGCCAATCGGATGCACCTCCAACGAAACCCGCACCACTTGAAGTCGACCCCGGCTCTGGACGAAAAACCCCTCGAGGTTTCCTCCCGATCAATCCACCGCTAAGCGATGCTCACGCCACACCAAGCAGCGATCCCGAACCGCAATCGTCCAGCAGTTCCGCCCAAGGTGCAGCCGACATCGATATGCCCGACGCCGCCGACGCCGCACCCCCAAGCAGCAATCCCGGAGCACAGTCACCGTCTAGCAGTTCCCTCAGCAGCCCCCCCGATATTCTCTCTCAGGATACGGCCGACCCTCCCCTAAACGCCAATACGAACTTTGTGGTCGACCCCGAAACCCCGAAACCGCAAAGGCCGCGTTCGGTTCTCAAGAAGCCCAAGTTCAGGGGGCCCCACAAACACAGGCTTCTTAACGCGGTTGGGTGGGGAAAAGCGCATTTCCAAAAGAAGGGGGTCAACGAGTTCGAACCTGGGAAGTTCATTAGGGCCGGGGTGTTCCATGAAGTTTGCACCATGAAATCCTGGCCGGTGATTGACCGCTCGAGTGTTCATGCGCTTGACAAGATGAAGAATAGACGCTTTGCCGTCATTCTCTGCCATGTTGAGGATGGGCTCCAACTCTCGGGGGGCAACCCTAATCATTTCGTTGTGGCTATTGTCGACTGGAGGGAGGAAACGGTGGAAAACTTGCAGGGAAAAAGCAGAGGTGGACGAAAGGGAAAATCGGGGAAGAAGTCGGGGAAGTTTACGCACTGGGGAATGGACCGAAACATGGCAGACAGGCTGCGGGAGGATTGTGAAAAAGAATTGGAGTTTGAACTGGAAGACTCCGAAAACGAGGTAAGGAGAGCCCCTCGAAACTTGGTCGATATTTTCTAACCTTATTTATCCAGGCTCGCGACAATACCGGCAACACCTGTCTGCTTCAATGTTTGACGGACGTTCGATCCTACTTCGGGGAAACAACTCCCGATGGCGACCAGTACTTCGTGCGATGGTTTTATCTCGAAATGCTATTGCAACACTGGGTCGACTGCTACAACGGGGAGGCCACGTCTGCCGACACGCAAACAGCTATAGCCGAGGGCCCTTTTGCCGCGGGTCCCCCACCGGGATCTGCCGGCCAGCACGGAAACAAAGCCATGGTCGAAGGCGTTCCAAGCGACGGCTCTGTTCCCCAGTCTCCCCAGTCGGCCGCCCATTTCACTTCGGCTCAATTCGCCCCGCCGGCCGGGCCATCCCGAAAACGCCTCCCCAACGGCCGAACCACGGCGGCCGGGGGGACTTCGACCGCGTCTGGCTGCAGCCCGCTTCCTTTAAGTTCTCCGCCAGAACCGCCTCTGCGGTCTATGCACGTTGACGACATGGGACCAAACTTGGCCAAGAATCTGTGGAATAAGTTCGGGCCCTCAGTCGGCGGCATGATCCGCATCGAGGGCTTGTCGCCACCTACCTCGGCCGAACTGAAGGAGAAGATTCAACAGCCGGATCAGGAATGGGATCTGGTCGGTGTGAGGTACAGCCTTGACGAACGGGGCACGTGCAGGGTACGTCTCGCCGACCCGGAAGGCGGGTTTAGTGTGCCGGACTTCTCCGATGCGGTGCCTCAGGAGGACCCCGAACGGTTCCTTGACGACATTTGCGCCAACCCCCCTAAGGAAGTCATCAATTACTACGTCGGACCTCAGTGTACAAACCGCAAAGAGCAGTTCAACGGCCTGCTCCACCCAGGCAAGCTTGCAAAGCTGGCGGAGCTGCGGCGGCGGAAAGCCGAAGAGCGAGGCGATTCAAGGCAGGACTGGGAGGTTGCCGGCGTAACTACTCCTTACGAACACATCGGTCACCGGTTATCGGCCAGCTGCTTCCATCGCGAAGACGCACACTATTGGTCCGCCAATATCAACCTTTCCGGGGAGAAGATATGGGTTGTAATCAAGCCAGAGTCTACGGGAGCCTTCGAAGCATACGTTAGGGGCCGTTACAGCAGTTTCGACTGCGACCAATGGCTCCGCCACCACAACCTGCTCATTGGGCCATCTACACTCCGTGCGGCAGGCATTAAATTCGAGGTACTGAGCGCCCAGCCCGGCATGATGGTCGTCACAAGGCCGGGGCAGTACCACATGGTCGTCAACAGGACCCCGTCATTCGCTACAGCCATTAATTTCCTGATGCCTGGCGATTCGCTATTGCCCGAGGCCGCGACAAAAGTTTGCGAGGACTGCGGTCTCGGGTTTGCAAAGGAAGAGAAGCTTTGGGACTTTGAACATGTGGGGAAAAATCAGCTATCGTCACGTCCGAAACGGGCCGCCGCTTTACGCCCTGCAGTTTCCAGCGCATCCAGTACATCCCCCAGCAAGAAGAAGCGGCCCGCAGCCGAGCAGATAGACACCGACTCACCAGGCAAGCAGCTACAGAAAAAGCTGAGGGAGTTGCCACCTCCCAAAACGCTGGCGGAAAACCTGACAAACAAAAAGGCGATGTTGCGGGGAGTAAAACAACTCCTTGCTGCCAAAGAGATGGCTGATTCCCCGCAAACATCAACCGGTCTCAAAGTCCGAGGACAATGGTTCCAACAGGCTGCTGAACTCTATCGTCTTGGCCTCAAGCATGAGCGCTCTTCCGCTTTCTTTGCGCTACTATCCGTGGTTGCTTTAATGAGTGCCATGGAAAAAATGCGTGCTCGCATACCCTCTGGGTTCAAGCAAGTGCCACCCGAGGCATACAACGCGGTCTTCCAACAGATCGGCGGCACGAAGAGGGCTTTTGATGACAAGATGGGCCGGTCTCGCAAACTTGCGAGGGTTTTCAACCACAAGTACCGAGGTCTTTTGCTTTTCGTCTGCTTCGACAACGATAGCCCTTCGACTATTTCGGCTTTTACAAAGATGTCTGATGGCGATGTTGCGGAACTTCACATGGCTATTAACAACGACAAACGGGCAGGTGCGCTAGCCCGCATTGGCAATGAGTTTTTGGGCTGTATCTTGAAAAACACTGCTTTCCGTAACGGAGTTTGGGCGGATCGTCCTTACCAACAACTCGAAGAGATGGCCGACGAGGGTTTGTTCGACTTAATTACACAGACAGGGATTTTTAAGTAGTTTTCATTAGGATATGGCAGTTTGTCACGCGAATCCTGCCAGGACAACGCACATTTTTTAAGTACGCGACTGTTTGGCTGGCAGTCGTGCACGGGCCACAAAGTTTTCAGACACATGAAAACTTTGTGGCCCGTGCACGACTGCCAGCTGGTGCAACTATTGCAAAAGACCTTGCTATAACAATACGGCACATCACGGCGTAAACTTGGTGCTTAGCAGGGCATTGACAGTCCCCTTCCCACTGCATGTTGAAATAGAGTGTTGAAGAAAGGCAAGGATTACGGAAGCAACTTAATTTATTCCGTATAGACGCGGGCCAGGTGCTGCTGTGCCTCCAGACGACTGATGGGGGCCGTACTAGATATGGTCAAGATTCCGGTTCAACCCTATGGTGTCGTTATCTGGCAATGCAAGTGCTGCATTGTGGGCTTGCTTTTGGGCCACGGGTTGACTGCTTTCCAGTCATAAAGATGCATGCGCTAGGGACTTCGAGAAGGGACGGCGTTGAGCACACACATGCACACGGAGTCGTCGAGATCATCTCCAGATCTGCCGAGTGTTGTCGCGGCGATGAGCCACTTGACTGGCCGTTATGCCGCCGAGCTCGGATGCGAATCCGCCCCCAGATTGGGCCCCAGCCTAAGAATAGTCCGCGTATGCCCAGAGATCTAGATTCAGGGGATGCAAGGCACCGGCGTTGCGAAGCACCGGAAGACGGCCCCCAGGCGGTGGTGGCCCGAACCGCCCCCGAAACCGTAAACCTAATACCCAAGTTATATCGCTTACAAATTCAACGAAAATCTCAATAGGAGTGAAACTATTACAATGAACATAGCCCAAGCAAAAATTAAAAAAAAAATTGTAAATAACTGCATCAAAATGCAAAAGTACACACATTATCCGTCGCCCACTGAAGAAAATCTCTCAGGTCGTGGCTAAGGTTCTTTCCCATAGGCACAACCTCGCCCGTAATATCAAGCCCGAACATAGGACTTTCTGGCAGGCTTTCATCGCCCCTTTCCGAGCCTATAGCGAACTGCTGCTTATGCTCCCCCAAATGCTGTAACCCGAACACCCAGTGCTCGACATCATAGCCTTCGAGCTTGAGCCTGGCATCCCAGCGCCCTGGCAAAGGTTCGTTTACCGACGGGATGAGCAGGCCATTGTAGACTTGCGCCATTTCGGGTTGCTTCATTGAGCCAAAGCTGTCCGTAGGCGAGATGGAAGCATATTCGAGCATATCTGTCGGCTTGGAAACGTCGGATACACCACCGGAATCGCGGTTCCGGTCCAGCCTGTTGTCACCGGCCAAACCTCCCAGCCTGGTATCATCTCCACCCTTTTTTTTGGCCTTTCCGGTATTGCTATTATTGTTGCGCTCGTCTTCATCGGAGCTTAAGAGGCCCCCAATGCCCCCAAGCCCGAACCCATCGAGCCAGCACGCAAGTTCGTCGACATCCAGTGTTTCCGATCCTTGAGTAAAGTGTACATTGCCAGAAGGAAAGCCGTTAGTACCATCGGAAAGGGTGGGCCTTTGAAGAGCGGCCCAGTCTAGCGTTTCGTAGCTTCCCAGCCTTTTAACTCCGAAAGTGTTAATGTCGGACCGGGAAAGACGGATTGGGCCGTGGCGGAAGGTGGGCATGGTGATTGTAAAAGGGCTGCATGGTAAATATACGTGGGTAGACCTGGCCGGTTGTACCTCCTGCGCCTGCTGCCTCGTCCTGTTTTGCGCTATTTGCTGTTGTGCGTGTTGCTGCGTAGTTGAAGCTTCTTCCGCATCAGTGATTAGAATTTTTGGAATGTCGAGCAAGGGCAGTGATTGAGGAAGCTGCAGCCGCCGTGGGCCGTTTCCTTCCGCTTTGTTTTGTCGCTGCGGTAGTACGCCGGCCGCAGCGATCCTGGTCAGGAGGTCCTCAAAATGAAATGGATCAATCGGTGTTGCGCCGTCGTTGATCTGGACTCCGAGGGCGGCTTCCACCGCGGCAAAGGCTTTGTCAGTCTCTTCCCGCGACGAGTCCATCTCAAGTCCAGGCGTGGATACTGAAGGCAATGGCATATCTGCCGTTGGACGGATAGAAAAAGTTGGAAAGTCCCTATTTGTGAATGCCCCAAGCGAGCCGCTGTAGCGGTACGAATAAGTGGACGGACGTGGAATTGGTGGCCGCGATAGTGAAGGGCTGGGTGTCATGTGGGCATCCGTAGGTTTAAAAGAATACTGGAATGTGGTACTCCTGAACGAGCGACAATAGTAATTCGCTGGTTTCTTTTTTTATTTGCGTTTTAGAAGGGGAATGGCTTAAAATGAGGATGTTTTGTACATTTCCGGTGGCCTGGCGCGATTTAAAAATTATGTAGTTATATTAAAATCTAAATATAGAAACTATAAAAGAAGGTGTCTTTTAAATTCTTCCCGTCGTTGGTAGGTTTTCCAGATTTACTGGTACCAAGATCTTCGGCAAAGAGCCGCCGGTACAAGATGTGTGTGGATGCGCTAAGATGAGTACCTGGAAGGCGGGAGCCGACGACCAGTCCCACAATTCTCCCGGCCCAACGGCTACCAGTACCCAAAGCAGGCCAGGGACTAGCGGGACCAGTAACGTTGGGGGTACTTATCTTGTGCTAGAGGTGATACTGGTCTCCAGTAGTTTGGGTCGCGACCCGCTACTAGTTTCCCAGTTTTGGCAGGTCAATCTTTGACCAGTCACGCAGTTACCTCCCTTAATGCTGTGACTAGGAGACTAGTACCAAGCAAACTACGGAGACCCCGAAACTAGTATTACTGTAAGTCAGTGCACCCCCTGTCGGCCACCCCCCTTTTCGGCCACCCCAAAACGGGCCCACCGCCTC